AAGTAATTTCTTTCCGATTGTTTTGTAAAAAAACAAAAAGCAAACAAATTAACAAGACAAACATGTCGCTGATGACGATGACCTAATATTTTATTTATAAGAAAAATATATGCTCGAGGGGGAAGGACCAGAAACGTTTTTTTAAGCTTCTTCTTGCCCCTGTTGAACATGACAGCAGATACTCAGCTAAATGCTGCCGTGATTAAACGCCATCATGTTCCAAACCACATCAAGGATTATTTCTGAAACAGTATGGAGCTCAAAGGCTTTCTCTCTTGCCGGTTATACCACAAGGTGAGTTCCTTTTTATTTCCTGCCTCTTCACACACATGCTCTCCAGTACAGGTTAGCTCTGAGTGTTAGCCATGCTAATGTAAACACCGACCATATTACATCCAAAACAGTCAGGCATTGTTTCTGATAGCAACGTTTCTGATAGGGCCGTGGGTCCACATTTCAGATATTACGTCATATCGGACGCAAATCTGGATCAGCTCCGTTGTAGCCCCGTTTTTAGAGATTTGGGTACGGAGGAAAAGAAAAAAGGGTTTTATTTTCTGACGCTGCGTGAGTTCCCTGACACACCGGGGACACGTATTTATGTATAAAAGACATGAACAAGGGCATTTTGCATGATAGGAGAGCTTTAATGTCTCACCATGAACGAGGATCCCTTCGTCCAGCAGCACCTGCCACATCCCCACCGCCTGACTCCTGGACGCCAGACATTCATTTTGTTTCATCAGCCAATCGACGAGCTCCTTACCAGAACAACACTGTCTGTAACAAAATATAACAACATCAACATGAATGTGATTTTATTCTTTATTTCATATGACACCAGCAGTTAAGACCTGTATGTTTTGAGGTGATGCTTTCTGTCTCGGATCAGATTTGAGTCCCTCTCCATCAAAACGCTGTACACTGATCTCGCTGCTTTCACGACTCGATCTGAAAGAAACTTCATAAACATGGAGAAAAAATATTAAACTAGTATAATGTTATGTAAACATTAAAGGCACAATGTGTCATGTTCTGCCACTAGGGGTCTATGAAGAAATAAAAACAGTGAATAAAGCAGTTTGAGGTTAAACATCGGAGTTTCTCCTTGCACGCTGTTGGGCTGCGGCTAACGTTAGCCTAGCTTGTTTCTCTGATAATTTAACACCCTGACGCGTAGGAAGATTTTACTGGGGGTTGAATTAACCACAGAAGTCGCCTTATCTCTAAAACAAATGACTCGATGAGTTGAACTCGTAAAACACTGAATACAGCAGTTTCTAAATCTGTGTTTTCCAGGAAGAAACTGGACCGAGGGGCTACAAGCTAAAGGCTAACGTTAGCTTAGCCTGCTTCTCTGATAACTTCGGATCCAGACGTCCCATCACGAAAATCTTTCATCTGGTGAAACTATAGATTTGAAAAGCACCCAAAAATCTTATAAATATGGCTTAACAGTGGATAAAAAGTCAATTTATTACAGCTTCTGGCAGCATGTTCAAAATGATATTACGCTATTACAGACCAGACGGTGTCTCATGAAATGCACTGATTACAATCTTTAATAAACTACTCAACTAAATATCCAACTAAATGGACTGGGCTAGTGACTTTTAGACATTTCAAAGCAGACATTTTAAATACTTGAGCTTTAATACGAGTGATATTCCCTTTATGTTATGATGAAACAGTGGGGGTGTGTGTGTGTGTGTGTGTGTGTGTGTGTGTGTGTGTGTGTGTGTGTGTGTGTGTGTGTGTGTGTGTGTGTGTGTGTGTGTGTGTGTGTGTGTGTGTGTACATAAAGAAGTAGAGATT